TTAATGTTATTGTGTTTGAACTTATATTTAATACTTTTACATATTATATTATTGACAATCAATCTCCAAATAGCTTTAAATATCTAGATTATGTTTATTTGTCTAATTTACATAGCAGTACACCAATGAAACTACCACTCTATTTTTATTAAAAAAGTCACGCTTAAATCCCATTGGTGAAAAGAAGTGGGAAGCAAATAGAACCAAGCCTGGTGATTATGTTTTACAAAGAAGTGCTCCTCAGTTATGCACCTCTACCTTTTCCTTGGCACCATTTCCTGGGTGTGTTATAAAGGAAAATCAATTTGTGTCCCAATCGATAATCCGAGCGGTTTTAGACTAAAGCTCGGTTCAATTTCATTTATTGTTGTCGGTAGAATTTACTAACAATAATTTCACCTGGTGTTAGAAGCTCATACCAGATTCAACCACGCTTATCCCATAAAGCACATATTGTAGCATCGTATTCTTCCCGATGTGATTTGGCTTTGCGGTTGATGTGGCCGGTTTGCCAGAACTGACATGATTTTCTTTAGAATTCTTTAGAAGTATATCATATATCAATTTCTCCTGCACTCCGACGAGCAGGTTTACGCGTGCTTGTTAGGTGTTTCTGCTGCCTTTCAATTTTGTCTAATCGTATAACCTCTAGAATCTTTTCCGTGACTTGTAAACGGTCGAAGATACATTTTTGAGGCACATTTGATTGTTCTGCCAATTGTCCTTGCGTCTGACTGCCACTACTTTCCAATACTAGTAGTTCGTCGTTTTCACACTTTTTTTATGGTTTTGCACGTTCTCAGTTTCTCATATCAAAATCACTTTTTTTTTAATCTATTACAGCGCTGTTTAGCTTGTGGACACAAAACCGGATATAATTAGCACAGAACAGAGATGTGTTATTGTATGGAATTTGTAATATTGTGAATTGTAATAGATATTGTCAATAATTGTGAAAATCATAAAAATACGCGATCTGTAAGGTGTAACATTTATACAACTGGAGCTCCATTTGTTTGAGAATTCCGATTTTATATACATACTAGCTTTTCCCCGCGGCTTCGCTCCCAGAAATTAATATTCTTTCTCCATAAAACCTTTTAGCTCCCAATTCACCCTTACAACGTTTTAATTTTGTGTAATGTCGCCATCTTTCAAATACAAACGTAGCAACAACATTTCATCCTTAAGGGTTGATTTTTAAAAATTGCCAAAACACGTATTTGCTTAATTTCAGCAATGAGCATCCTTCGAGTAAATCCGAGTACAAATAAAATGTAGCCCATGGAAACGTTGCAACCTCTTTTCATTTGATTAATAATATCAAACAGCATATATACCAAGTTTCAAGTAAATTCAACCATAAATAAAGTATGTCCCAAACAAAAATTGCAACACCTTTCCCTTTTTTAAATTGTCGAGATAGATCTTTCAGAAATTAAATGAGAGACCATTAAAACAAAGTTTCAAGTAAATCTGATCACAAATAATAT